CAGAGTGACTGAGAGCTGGAGTGGAGTGGGCTGGAGGCCTGGAGCGGAGCGGCGACTGTTGTTGGACTAGAATCTGGTGTAGGCGATCAGCGGCTTGCAAGGCCAGTCAGACCAAGTATGGAAGCCCCTGCACTGAGTGACTGCAATGGAATGTTTGTCTGACTGCAATGTTTATCCTTTTAACTATGTCTTATTTCTAAATTACACCATGAATCACTGTAAGGTAATGCAACTTTATTTTGTTTTTATTCCTCTTTTTTATCTAAGATTTGTTCCTAGGTACAAATATAAACTTTTCACTGTACTCCTGTACTTGAGTACACATAACAATAAAGGATATTCTACTCTACATTTATACATCATCTGCCATGTAATACCCCACTCATTCAACCTGTCCAAACCACACTGTGTCATCTGCAAATTTGGAGATATTACATTTAGCTCCCTCATCTAGATCATTGACAGATATTATGAATGGCTGTGGTCTTAGTGCTAATCCCTGCATTTCCACACAGGTCAATGCCTGCCATTCAGAAAATGACTCATTTATTCCTACGCTTTGTTTTCTTTTTCTAACCAATTTTCTCTCCATCTCAATACACTATCCCCAATCCCAGAATCAGATACAGTCAGCACATTTCCAGTTCTGGAAGTCTGAACTTTACAGGCCCATGCAGCCAGGATAAAGGTTAAGAGGCAATGCTGCCTATGATCTTATGGGCCAGACATCCATTGAGGCAATTCCCTCAGGTGAATGTTGACAATGGAAGTCAGGAAATCACGTCTGTGTCACACATAGAAGAAAAATGTAGCTCTGTCAAGTACTAATTCAATGTCATCCATTGATAAGGCTGTTTGTGTGGAGTTTACGCATTCTCCTCCTGTCTGTATGGGTTTCCTCTGGGTGCTCCAGTTTCCTCCTACTGTCCAAGGATGTGCAGGCTAGGTGGATTGGCCATGGGAAATGCAGGATTACAGGGATAGAGTCAAGGGGTGGGTCTGGGTGGGCTGCTGTTTGGAGGGTCGGTGTGGATTCGATAGGCCGAATGGCCTGCTTCCACACTGCAGGGATTCTATGACTCTATGACAATACGATTTTAAAAACTAGTTATCCGGAAAAGGCTGGTCTTCATAGCTTAAAGCTCTCTCGCTTACCTTACTAAAAGCAGCAACCTCACTCTAAGAAGTCATCAAAGAACTTTGACCTTTGCTACCACTTACCATCCTTATCTTGTCCTTTTGTGGCTGTGGGATAGATTAGTATTAGCTACATTTACGGATTCACTTTCATCATTTATATACAGAATAGTACTAAAGCTGAGAAGTAATTCAAATCATTATTACTGGGATTGCTACGACTACGCAGTGTTGAATTCCCAGTGTATTCTTTGTGTAAGTTCATATTTGCTACAGTTCAAGGCTTACAGAATAAAACATATCAACCCTTATACAAATCCTCTGGAGGGCCAGTATGGGCACGATGGTTGAATGGCTTTTTGCTACGCTGTTATGATTTGATGAATCATAGCGTACATAACATCTCCTGATTTTTCTGACAGGCTTTTTTTTATGTTTTGATAATGAATGAAGTGTGTGTGTGTGTTTATATATAAAGGTTTCCTTCATTCCAGCCTAAATATTTGGTACTCCACCCTGGTAAATTTTAAAGAGCTAACATTTTCCTGAAATGTCATGCATCCTAATGAGACCATTTACACGCTTTTACTGCTACAGAAGTCAGTAAAATATAAATGATTTAGAGAAAGAAATTTAAAAGAAACTATATTAGGACAGCAATATTTTTTCTTTATTTTTTCATGACAGCAACAAGCTGCAATACAGTTCCAGAGCACCAGCAGCCTCTACCAAGTGGCTATTCGCATGTACATCTAACTAATCCAAAAAGCTATTCATCTAGGTGAAGTCTTTTTTTTACACTGTATCCAGTGCTAGAGAGGAACCAGTCTATAAAACTCATAAAAGGGAATCCTAGCAGATATCAATCTCCCTCTGCTGACCTTGCTAAGTTGAGCAAACTCAGCACAGATCAAAGAATGAATCTCACACTGTCTTAATTTGTTAGCCTTAGGAACTCACTAACAGCACTTTGCATGTACCTGCAACACATGGACTTCAGCGTTTTGAGAAAGCAGCCCCTCACCAGCTTCTCAAGGGCAATTAAGGATGGGCAATAAATTCTCACCTCACCAGTAATGCCTACATCCTGTGAACAAATAAATAACGAGTACCAGGCCATCTGTTGCTTTTGCCAACTGAGCAAATAAAACCCTTGAAAACAGCAGAATTTATGTGAAAGGTGAACCCACATTTTCTGCAGTTTTGTACATTATTCTACAGCAGCAAAGTAGAGGATTCTTTACTACTCACCCTTAGTATCAAAAGGGAAAGTATACCTAGGGATACCCCACTTTAAAGACAGGTGCAGAACCAGACCTCCTGTAGGGGTCATACATACTAGATAAGACACTCAATCTTAATGTTTTGTTGCAATATCGTGATAAGAATACTCTGAAACTACATACATGGGATATCATTCTCATTTCTGTAAACAAAAATAAAATATTGCTTCATTTACCTTTGTGTAAATTTATTTTCTACTTTCAGTAATTAAATGCTTCTCAATATGAATGTGTTTGTACTTCAAGCTATTTCAACGTATTTTTGAATACAGTGATAGGCTTTCACCTGGCAGGTCAGAGACGCCATTTAACACACGTGTACTCTGCTCACACTCCATGGCTAGGATCTGTAGTTCGTAAGTGTAATTATTTATTTTAATTGGAGTTTCAACTGAAAGAGCGACGAAGAAAATTGCAAAAATTCCCGCTGAAGACAGAGGGTTTATGATTCTTAACTTCTCACTCGATCCTAACTTCGGTTTATCGAGAAAAGATTCACTGAAGTTGCGCTGAATGTTTTCGTTTATCGCTGTCAATTAGTTGCTTTTCCCCATTAAACCTTTATTGTAAACTACAATTTAATCTGTAACTCGCACACAGGGCTGTTTCAAACTAAAATAACGATTTGCAGTGTGAATACAGTTGCCAGAAACTCTACGCTCCTTTAGTACAAGTACATACGTTGACAGGAATAAGTCAAATGGAGTGGACAGGAGATTGAAAAAGGAGCATGTAGAAAGAGCTGTCAGGCATTGGAAAGTGACATATCTCGAGAAAGGCGATCTGCAACGCAGCTGCCAAGTTCACCTTACCTCCATTTTCCCCAGGAGTCCTCGCAAGCAAGTTATCTCTGTGTGTAATTGATCCGAGAGAGACAGCCGTTGTGTTTTCTGTTTTCAGATCACAAAGTCATGCACTGGAATAACACACATGCTACCCAGTCTCTCAGCTTCATACATCCCGATGACACAAGTCTGTGGTCAGACGCTGATCTGGACCCAGCAAAGTCTACCATTAGACAGCAGGGGGTGGGGGGTTCTTAAACGTCCAAAAGCGTAGCAAAACTCAAATAGATTGGTTCTGTTTAGATTCCCCGAATGGTCAAAGTTAATATGGTCTTTGTAATAAATATGACCCAGAGCTTTAATCACAGTCGGTCATCCGCACAGTGATTTAACCAGGAATGGTGCAGTTAGATCCCTTCCTGGAATAGATGCAGAGCTGCTGCTCTCCCCTAAACAGCATGTGCATGTGAGATTCTTTCTGAAGCGTTGTTCTTCGCAACAGACTGAAAAGAGTGGCCCGGATTTGAGCTTTTGGTCAAAAAGTTTCTCCCAACAGTTGCAATACACGCGGTGATAAAGCACATTTCATGTAAATACAATCAAAAGTTTGTGTCGTTTTTTGACATTTCGAGAAATCGTATTAAAATGTTTTCGACCTTCCCTGATAATATTAACTGCATGCGCAAGCCACTGTAATTACGATAAATAACATTTTAATATGATTAATTATAATATTAGCATGAAATATTTTTATTCATATTTTAAAGTCAATTTGATAGGTGGTCCTTCCTGCATTAGTTGTTTATGTTTTTAAATATTTAAACAATTGTATAACATTTGATGTCAGAACTTTTTCTTATAAATGGTACTTCTGAGCACTTCCTCTTTTTCATTGTTGATGTGAGAAGGTCGGTTGTATTTTTTTGCTGGAAGGAAGCCATTGAACGGAAACCAGTCAGCTTTCAGGCAAGTGAGGGAAATGCGCTGCAATGAAGATAACAATCAGGAAATTGAAATGACCCATATGCAGGACTGTCAGACTATAGCCACTATTAGAAGTGGTACAGGATATCACGGACGAGATTATAGAAATTCATAGAAAGGTTGTTGGAAAACAAGGCAATATTAATACAAACTCAGAAACGAGAGCCAATCAGAGAAAAATATAAACCATGGGACTGTAGCCTTTTTGTCCTTGTTGCTCTGGATGGATTTTGGATTGAATCTTGATTCTTGTTAGATTAAGTGTTGATGCAGGGCTAAAAGAAGGTATCTCCACTTATTGGCAGGCTAGGTTTTCTTCCACAATTAGAGTCATAGAGTAATACAGTGTGGAAACAGGCCCTTCAGCCCATACTGTGGTGCCCACTCAGCTAGTTCCAATTGCCCGCATTTAGTCCATATCCCTCTAAACCTTCCCCCATCCATGTACCTATCCTAATGTGTTTTTAAATGTTGCTAATGTACCTGCCTCAACCACGTTCTCTGACAGCCTATTCCATATATGCACCACTCTCTGTGTGAACAAGTTGCCCCTCAGGTCCTTCTTAAATCTATCCCCTCTCACCTTAAACCAGTCTAGTTTTCAATTCCCCATCCCTGGGACAAAAACTATATGCATTCATCCTATCTATGCCCCTCATGACTTTATACACCTCAGTAAGGTCACCCCTCATTGTCCTGCATTCCAGGAATGAAGTCCTATCCTGGCCAACCTCTCCCTATAACTCAGGCCTACTAGTCCTGGCAGCATCCTCGCAAATCTTCTTTGCACAATTTCCAGTTTAACTATGTCTTTCCTATAACAGGATGAGGAAAACTGTACATGATACTCCCAAGTATGGCCTCACTAACAACTTATACAATTGTAGCATAACGTCCCAATTCTTATACTCAATGCCTCGACCGATGAAGGCCTGCATGCTAAATGCCTTCTTCACCATCCTGTCCATCTGTGACGCTGCTTTCAATGAACTATGTACTTGTACTCCTAGGTCCCTCTGTTCCACAACACTCCTCAGGACCTTACCATTTACTGTATAAGATCTACCTTGGTTTGACTTTCCAAAATGCAACACCTCACACTTATCTGTACTGAATTGCATTTGCCCACTTCCGCATCTGATCAAGATCCCTCCATAATTTTTGATAACCTTCCTTGCTATCAATGATACTTCCTAATTTTGTAGTATCTACCAACTTACTAATCATGCCTTGTCCCAGTACCGACCCCTGTAGCACCCCACTAGTCACAGGCCTCCAGTCTGACAAACAACCTTAAACCATCACCCTCTGCTTCCTACCATCGAACCAATTTTGAATCCAATTAGCTAGCTCTCCCTGCATCCCATACAACCTAACTTTCATGACTAGTCTGCCGCGTGGGACCTTGTCAAAGGCATTACTAAAGTTCATATAGACAACATCCACTGCCCTACCCTCATCCATCCTCTTGGTTAGCTCTTCGAAAAACTCTAAATGATTTGTCAGACATAACTTCCTGTGCACAAATCCATGCTGACTATCCCTAATCAGACCTTGACTATCCAAATGTTGGTTGATCTTGTCCCTCAGTATCCTCTCTCCAATAACTTGCCTACCACTGATGTCAGGTTCACAGGCCTGTAAGTTCCCTGGCTTGTCTTTGCTGCCTTTCTTAAACAATGGAACAACATTGGCCACCTCCAGTTTTCTGGAACTTCACCAGTAATTAAAGATGAAGCAAAAATCTCTGCAAGGCCCTCTGCAATTTCTTCCCTAGCCTCTCACAGCATCTGAGGATGGATTTGATCAGGCCCAAAGGATTTATCCACCTAAATGTGCTTTAAGGCTGCAAACATCTCCTCTCTGGTAATGTGTATGCAGCCCAAAACGTCCCCACTTGTTTCCCTTATTTCCTTAGCGTCCATGATTCTCTCCTCAGTAAACGCTAAGGAGAAATATTCATTAAAAATCTCCATCATCTCCTGTGGCTCCAACATAGACGGCTATGCTGATCTTTAAGGGGACCTATTCTATCCCTAGCCACCCTTTTACTTTTAATATAGCTATAGAACCTCTTGGGATTATCTTTAACCTTATCTGCCAGATCCATCGCGTATCCTCCTCAGCTCATTGCATAGTCACATGCAGGCGAAATGTCAAATGTTATGGGTAGCAAGATTAGTTCCTCCTCAAAGGACCTTCTGGGTGCCAACAACTAGGCTTAGAAGGCCCTTGAGCAGAACCTTGCTGTCTGTCAGGAGCATTGCTCAATCCCCAGACATCATGGCAACTGGATATTTCAGATGCCCAGAAAAAAGTGGCGTCATACTTTAGCCACACGCATAAAGGTTGTCCTGTAGACTATCCAGAAGAAAAGGGAACAACAGACCATCCTGACTGACGTTGGCAGCCTGGACAGAGGTGACTGCAGAAGTCAGTGCCCATGAGTGGCTCCAGAGAAATATCATTCCAATGCCACAAGATGAGGAATGATCTGCTGCATCAGCAGGTATCCACCATTGTCTGCTCAATGCTTCATGCTCCTATGGGTGTGAATTAGCATTGTAAGCTTGCTACTGCAGAGGTACTGTCTTATATAAGATTCAGCACCAGGCATTTTCATCAGATGCACCATGAGCAATCACTGTCTATCACTTAATTACAATCACCGGTGTAGCAATATTGTATCACACTGGTGCAGCCTCTTACCCATCTACCAGGGTCTAAATTTATAACATAAAAAGAGCTACAACATTCAGCAGCTCACAAACCACCAGCTCACTGACCTTTCATCACAACTAAGAGAACAAACATAACCTTTCATGGGAGAAGGTGACCAACAAAAGACATGGCTTCAGGATCTTGGGCACACATTTCAGGTAACATTTTATTGATTTGCATCAAGTCTAATTGTTTGACAACATGAAACAACTTTTCAATCAGAACACTTTAGCTTCATACAACATTGTTCTTACTAGTAATGTACAATCACAGCTCAGGAGGTTGACATCTTTGTCTATATCTATACAGGCATAGTTCTCATCTACTATGCGATTGTGTCTTATTGGTTCTTTCTTTCTGCAGAGAATGTGAATCAAAGTGGAGATGCACAGACGGGGCAGGATGGCTGACCATATAGCACCAAACTGGCAGGGTAGCATGGGGAACGTGCCTTTGCTGAAGGGAAGATTGAATATATATTGCCGTCTAGTGAAAAAGCCTCCAAGGAGCGACTTGTACAACAAGCAGCAGCATCCTGAAACCTTGGATAATATAATGATGGGAGCTCATGAAAAGTGGTGCCCTAGCCTCTACACCACTCTTCATCAGCTTTTCGAACCAGACCTTTTGAGGAGGAACAGCCACAATTCTCCAAGATAATGCATTATCATGACTCTCGTTCCCACAGGCCACCAGCATAGAAACGTTCACCTCTTTGGGTAATCTGTCAGGGGCAGGCTTGGTGTCACAGTCTTGTGAGCACAGCACCGACACAGAGCTACAGCTAGAGAAGAAAGAAGCAGCCGAGGTCTCTGATACTCAGGGGTCTGCTAGAAAACTGGCTGCTGCTGAGCCTAGTACAGATGTTGAGCCGATGGACTCATGCATTAATGAGATGATGAAGAAACAAAGACTAGCAGAGGAATGTCCGACAGGGGTGCCAGAGATGCACTGATTGGAGTGGAGGGCAGAGGAGTCTGCTCTAGTTCTCTGGTGTTGTGACTCTGGCATATGAGCACTTTTTAAAAATGTACTCACGGGATGAGGGAGTCGCTGGCTAGGCAGCATTTATTGCCCATCCCTAAATGCCCAGAGGGCAGTTAAGAGCCAGCCACATTGCTGTGGGTCTGGAGTCATATGTAGACCAGACCAGGTAAGGATGGCAGTTTTCTTCCCTAAAGGACATTAGTGAACCAGATGGGTTATTCCTGACAATCAACAATGGTCTCATGGTCATCTTCAAACTCTGAATTACTGAAACAAAAACAGAAATTGCTGGTAAAGCTCAGCAGGTCTGGCAGCATCTGTGGAGAGAAATCAGAGTTAACATTTCAGGTTCAGTGACCCTTCCTCAGAATTCAAATTCCACCATCTACCTTGGCAGGATGTGTACCTGTGTCCCCAGATTATTACATGGGTCTCTGGATTAAGAGTCCAGCAATAATAGCACTAGGCCATCATTTCTCTCATGCTGCAATGTTTTTGGTGCTAGCAGCCATGCAGAGCCAGGTTCAGTTGAACAATCAGTTTCAACCTAACATCCATGGGCACCTTCACTCCATCACTTGAAGCATGGATACATTCATTCACTGGCAAGACAAAAGAGACCTAAGGGGCATGAACTTTCTTTCAGGTGGTCCAGCCCCTCAAGGGGTGATGTAGGTGCTGTTGTGCATCAACAGGGGGAAATGAGTGACAGCCAAACACCTAGGATCTGTCATGTTAGGACACTACAGAGATTCCCTGCTGCACCACCACTGCGCTGCTAGGAATCCAAACACCTCTGTAGTGTCAAGCCAAGGATGTTTCATCTACATTTGTGCATAGCCCCCAGCAAACCAGAGCCCTTTAGACCTCATACAATCAGAAGATACCCAGCAAAGTCACTAAAGTGGTAATGTAGCAAAGCAGTCAGCAAGTTTCCTCCCATTTAGCTGTACTACTGAGTTGGCATGAAAACATAACAATAAGCAGAGAAAGAATAAACAAATTAAAGTATTTTTGTTGCCTGAGTGTCTACCTTCTGTCCATCATTACACTTGACACAAATATGGCACGTTGTACAACAATCATATCATCTTTCTCAATCAGCTTTTGATTATTTATTCATGTAGACGATCTTAAGAAGTGATGGTCTCTGTAGACCCTCACATGCTCATGATGTGCAGTAGTACAAAGTGTGCTGAAGCTCTTTTTCAATGGTATCCTCTTGGAGGAACATAATCTCTAGAAAGGAGGAACTGAAGGTACATGGTTGGGTTTAGGGAATCAATTATTGTAGTTGAGCCTGTCTGCATCTAAGTGATGGATGAATGCCCTTTGTGAACAAAAGTTTGAGTCATGTAAGTGCAGCCTCTATTTTATCCTGCATAACTCCATACTAATGCTGTAGCCAGAAAATTGAGGTTATTGATGCAAAGGGAACAAATAACAATTTGTGACAAACAAACTAGCTTAAAGCAGGTATTCCATGGAGAGCAGGAAAATCTCTAGGTGTTAGTAGTAGTTCTGAGTGTCCACATATGTTAATATAAAGTAATCTTCCCTCAAAGCCTGCTGTTAATAGGTTCTCCAGGCCTATCTGCATCACTTCACTACTTTCCTGGCTTTTTCAGTCATCATCATCAGTGTTGGCTTCTTCAACATCTCCATCATGCTCCCCTTCTTCCACATCTGAGCAGACAGGTGGTTGATCCATCTCCTTTTCTTTTAAGTTCTCACCCTGTTACTGAGCAAGGTTGTGCAGAGTGCAATGAACAATCACTATTGTGGAGACCCTGTCTGAAGTGTACTAGAGTAGTCCTCCTGAGTGGTCCAGGCAGTGTAAGTCATCTTTACAAGTCCAACTCTCTGCTCAATGATGGCCCTAGTGGATGCATGGGCAGTATTGTAGCCCTGTTCAGTATCAGTTTAAAGGTTGCACAATGCGGTCATTAGCCATGCCTTCAGGGAGTACCCCTTGTCATTCGGGATGGGGGTGGTGGTGTGGTGGTGTGGTGGTGGGGAACCATCATTTAAGGAACCTGGGAGTTGTGTAGAATGAAAGCACTGTGACAGGTCCGTGGAAAGCAGGCACACATCTCCTCAATGTTTGCCTTTGGACACAAACAAACTGGACATTGAGGGAATATTATCCCTTCCTATTCATGAAAATGGTTGGATGTTGCCACAGTGTTCTGAGGGTCACATGTACAGTCAATGATCCATTATACCCGAGGGAGCTCGGTGATGGTTACAAAATTGTCAGGCACCTTGGCTGTCTAGATTGATGGTGAACTAGACAAATTATATTGCTTTCCTGTTAAAAGCATCTCACAAATCCACTTAGAGATACCACACATGCCCACAGTTAAGGTTTTGAAAGGAGTCAGTGGCGAGGAAGTTCAGTATCATTGTGAGCTTCAGTTCCATAGACATAGAGTTTCCTTCCAAGCCGACTGGCTACAGACCCAATTGCAGGAGGTGGCAGATGTAGGTGACAATCTCCTGAGCCAAGCAAAGACATTTCTGATACTTCATTTCATTCACCTGCAGGAAGCTGTAACACCTTCACTACATCCTGTCTTGGTACACTGCACAACAGCACTGAAAGCCCAGTTCCCCTCTTCAGGCACTGCTTATTCACCCACAGCTGCAGCCTCCTGAGCCTTGTGTCTCTGGTTCTATTGGGACTGGCATTTCTTCTTCTCTTCCATCTTCTTCTGAACCTTAGTAAAGTTAATACAGCTGTTGCTTGGTTAAGTTGGTCAAGCGTATGGAACGGAAGTACTGATCTGTGAAGAAGTATCAGAAATGAGATGTATGTTTTCCATTTGAGATTTTGACATAGTCAATCTACTCATTGCACTCATAACAGGCTGCTCATGCCTTGGTGAAATCCTGCCCTACAGCTACCCCTATGTGGTCAGGTTCATCCTCCTTGACCCATGACTGATATTCCCCTTCCTGACACTTTTCATCTGCAAAATATTTTTAGCCTTGATCTTTACTGCAGAGGGAAATAGGAAGGTTATGCAAGTGGGCAAAAAACTTGGCAGATGGGGAAATGTAGCGTTATGCAATTTAGCAGGAAGAATAGAGGAAATGAATATTATTTAAATGGGGACATACTGCAGCAAGTCACAAAACAAAGAGATTTAGGAGTCCTTGCCTGTGAATGACAAAAAAAAATCAGCAACCAAGATCAATGGGCAATGGGGCAGGAAAATGGAATGTTAGCCTTTATTCCAAAGGAAATGGAGTATAAAAATAGGGAGGTTTTGCTAAAACTGTACTGGATATGGAGGGACAGTCTAATGAGGAGAGATTACATGCACTGAACCTGTATTCATTGGAATATAGAAGAATGAGAGGCAACCTTATTGAAACATGCAAGATTCTTAGAGAACTGGACAGGATAGGTGTGGAAAGGTTGTTTCCTCTTGAGGACCAGTGGCCATAATCTCAGAATAAGGGTTTGCACATTTAAGACAGTGATGAGGAGGAATTTCTTCTCACAGAGTTGTGAATCTGTGGAATTCTTTATTACAGAGGATGCGTCATTAAGTATACTCAGGTCACCATCAGTAAGGGAATCAAAGCTTATGGGGGAAGAGGCAGGAAAATGGAATTGAGGATTGTCAAATCAGCCATGCACTCGCTGAATGGTAGAACAGACTTGATAGACCGAATGGCTGACCACTGCTTCTACATCTTATTATCTTACATTGTTTCCCAAGCATGTGGAAATGAACACAACCTGACTCTTGGTGACCCTTCATTACTCTCTGCAATACAGCCTTACAACCTTGGAATCTGCAACCTGTATACATTCTCATCTATTGACTTTAATATATACAGGCCTGTGAATATTCCTGCATGGCTAAATATTGAATCAGAACCATCATCATTGCTGGCATTTCTCAGCTGCTCATCTTGTAAAAGGTTACCAAATCATATGGTTGGAATTTTGAGGTATGGAATTGTAGGGACTTATTCAGTTTACCAAAAAGTGAGCGCTTCCCTTTTGTGCAAAGCTCTTAAACGAGTGTTCATGCAATTGCACTTTTTAGTTTCTCTTTCATTTGGCCCAGTTGGATTTATTTGTGCTGACGGGAACAAGTGCAATCAGATTTGGAGCCCTTTCCATTTGCACTACATTTTCTCTGAAGGCTGCTTTTGAAATTCTTTTTAGAGAAAAATGACTGTTTTAAACGTTTCCTTCTGGTGATTCACCCTCTTCCTCCTCCTTCTAGAACACACATATCTGCCACCACTGTCATAATAATAAATAAAACCAAGAACTGTGGGCGCTGGAAATCTGAAACAAAAACAGATATTACTGGAGAAACCCAGCAAGCCTGGCAGCATCTGTACAGGGATGAAGTGTCAGTGGATTCGAAACATTGATTGTGCTTCCTCTCCATTGACTCTGCTTTCTCTCCAAGATCCTGCCGGGCCTGTTGAATTTCTCCAGCAATTTCTGTTTTTGTTTCTGCCATCATTGTTGATGGCATTCTCCTTTCCTCTAGTATCCCCTGTCATGCTTCAATCTGCCAATGTGACTGTCAGCCCTTTTACTATCTCATTCTGCTCTTCTCCCTGATCCCTCTCTCACATAGATCCCCGTGCCCAGCCTTATCCTTACATTCTCTCCCCCTATTCAGTTCACTGGCTCATTCTCAAACTATCCCATTGTGTTCCTTAATATGCAGCTCCTACCCTTCCTCAACCCCCTTGCCCCTACCACTACAATTCTCAGCTTCATGTTCCAGTCTGCTCCTTCAATTCCCCACAATCCTTCCAGTTCCCCATTAACCACACCGATAAGTCCCATTCTATTCCATTTCTTTCCAACAAATTTACCTTTATCTGAACCTTATCAATTGATCTCTGCTGGCCTCATCCACTCAAGTTTGCTGGTGTCAGTTCTTGCAGTTACCTTGTTACGTCAGGCTAGTGGGCCTGGTCAGGCTTCACCAGTTACACCGTAAACATTTCAGAACTACAAGTAAAACTACATCTGACTGAGATTTTTCATGAGCTGGTTGACCTGGTCAGTTAGGTTTCACCCTTTACTCTGTAAGTATTTGTCCAAAAAAATATCTTCGCTGTGGAGGAGCCAAGTTACTGAAGAAGTTTGCACTCATTGGAGCTTGCAGGAAGGTGTCTACCCTACCTTCGTAGATGTAGTGGCATTTATGAAGACATTTGCTTCCCTTTTTTTTTGTTAACGAAATTCCATTGGGCTTGAGTGTTAATGAGTATTCATAGCATGCTGTTGAATACAAAATAGGCTCTGCACCATGAAGGCCAAGAAAGCTGACCTGCCTGGACTTCTCTGAGAACTTAATATCAAAACTTCAAACTGTCATTGGGAAACTGCTCCTCCACCTACCCTTCTAAAAGCCACAGATAACCCTGGTGGAGATCCATAGTGGTCCTGACATGCAAATCAGTCATTTGACCTTGGTATTGGGACGAAAGACTAATCGAAACATCTAGTAGCTGGTTCCCTCTGAAGTTTCCCTCAGGATAGCTGGTGTTCGTCAGCCACGCAGTTTTACCCGGTAAAGCGAATGATTCGAGGTCTTGGGGCCGAAGTAATCTCAACCTATTCTCAAACTTTAAATGGGTAAGAAGCCTGACTCACTGGCTTGGAGCCGGACGTGGAATGCGAGTGCCTAGTGGGCCACTTTTGGTAAGCAGAACTGGCGCTGTGGGATAAGCTACACAATCTGGTGAGGCTCATTCCCTTTGTGCCTCCCACATCAGTTACAGCTGGTTTGTTAGCTGGATCAGTGTGATAGCACAAGCTAAAAGAGAAAACTTCCCTTTAAACCATAAGACCATAAACCAGAGGAACAGAAGTAGGCCATTCAACCCTTCAAACCTGCTCCACCATATTCTATGAGATCATAGCTGATCTGATAATTCTCAACTCCACTTTCCTGCTTTTTCCCTCATAACCCTTGATTCCCTTAATGATTATAAGACTTTAAGACATAGGAGCAGAAGTAATCCATTGTAAAATAGTAATTAAACAACTTAACTACAACTCATATTTGTAGAGTGCCTTTATTGTGATAGAATGGCAAAAAGTGCTTCCCAAGAACATTACAAAACAAAATGTAGCACCAAGAACTATAGGAGATTATTGGTCATATGATCAAAAGGTTGATCAAAGAGTTAAGTCTTGAAAATTGCCTTAAAGGACAGACACAAGATACAGTGGTGTGTCAAGGAAATTTCAGATCTTAGGGAACTAAAGCAAATATATTGTGATATTTATAGAATAATAGGGAAAGGAGGGGGTGGAGCTTGTGAAATATTTTCCTCGACTAACATGTTCTCAGCTTAACTCTGAACAAGGCATTGTTAAAACTGGCGCTAGGGAATGAGGTGTGACAAGTGGACTAAGTGTACATGGGATCATTGGGTAACATTGATCATCCTATCATAAAAACTAGGTTAGAAATGAGATGAGCAAGGAACAATCTGAAGTAGAATTGTTAAACTGGAAGAGAGCTAACTCCAATGGGATGAAAGAATATCTAATCAAGGTTAAATGGAATCAAAGACTGGGAGGAAGGATTGCAATGGAGCAGTGAGTGAGATGTTTCAGGCACAAATTAGGTACATTCCAGCAAAGGTAAAACGTAGGGGTAGCAAGGCCAGATAGCTTTGGATGATGAAGTAGATGAATATGATGAAGCAAAAAAAAACTAGGGCGCACATCAAGTATAAATTTAAAGTTAGAAACAGCCCAAACATGAAATGTTGAGAGGGGAAGTGAAGAGAAAAATAAAGCTCGCAAAGAGAGAACAGAATTTCAATTAAAAGTAAAGGGAAACCAAAAATCATGGATTGTAAAAAATCAGCATCTAGAAAGAGGTGGTTTAGGTCCTATTAAGCCCAAAGAGGGTAATATATGCTTAGAGGTGCAGCCAAGGTTGGAATGCCTAATGAGTCTATTATTTGTATTTTCTAAGGAAGAGGATGTTGATAAAATATCAGTAGAAGTAGAGATGGAAGACGTAATGGATGAGGTGAAAATTGATGGGCAGGATATATTGGGAAGGTTGGCTATATTTAGACTGATCGGTCGCCTGGTCCGGATGTCTTGCAAACCAGATTGCTAGAGGAAGTGGGAGTGGGCACTGCAGAAGAGCTTGCCTTAACCTTCCATGGATGAGGGGGAGTTTCCAGAGGATTGGAGAGTGGTAAATGTGACACCCTTATTCAAGAAAGAATGTAAAGATGTAGGAACTACAGGCCGCTCAGTTTAACACTAGTAGCGGGTAAGAATTTCAAAAATATAATTAGGAAAAAAAATCAACAGGTGCTTGTGTCAAGACCATGGATCATAACCCCAGATTACCTATGGATATACTGAACTTTTAATTCCAACATGTGTTTTTTCAAAAGAGGACTGATATAGTCAAAATGATTCTGGATGTAATTTCAGTGACTGGAGAAAGAGACCCTGGCATGTCACATTTCATAGAACCCCTACAGTGTGCAAGCAGGCCATTCAGCCCATCAAGTCCATACTGACCCTCTGAAGAGCATCCCACCCCATCCCTGCAACCCTACATTTCCTATAGCTAACCTGAACACCTTAGATACTATAGGCAATTTAGCACAGCCAATCCACCCAACCTCCACATCTTTCGACTATGGGCAGAAACCGGAACACCTGAAGGAAACCCACACAAACACAGGGAAAACATGGAAACTCCACACAGACAGTCCCCAAGGATGGAATTTAACCCGTGGCCCTGGTGCTGTGAGACAGCAGTGCTAACCATTGAACCACAACACCACCCTGACATTTGATGTGGTATTAAGGAACTTTGAAAGGGATAAACTTAACAGTGGAGAAATGCATTACCAACTGATCAGCAAAGGGTTTTCCCAGACTGTGAACATGATTGGAGAAAGGCCACCAGTCTGGGACAGAAACATGTTTTGTATCTTCCCCTTTCAAAAATACACAAGAACAGGGGTAAAAAAGCCAGTTCAAACGTTCCTGTGTGCTAGTGGGAGAAAGTGTGCTTACTGAGCTGAGGTACATATCTGTACCAGCCTGGGTTTGGGTACTGTCAAGGTCATAGTCAAGTAACTGCCTACTGGTCACCCCTGCTTTGCAAGTAAAGGTCTCTCTTACTGTAAGTACTGGAAGCCAGAAAGGCAGTTGAAAAGGACAAACAAATTTTAATTAACCTGCAAAACAAGAACCTCAAAATCAATTATTAATGTTCCACGATCTGCTCTTCACAAACAACCCAGAAAAGCAACCATATATCTTTCAACTTGTATCTTTTATTGGACTTACTTCTCATTTTTAATCCATGCATGTGTGTTGTGTTATTACTTCTTGCATTTAGTGACCAAAAGTGGAATCTTATAGGATTTGAGGGACATGGGCTATGGTGGGATTTTTGGCAGAATTGAACAAGAAGTCTGGTGAGGTCCAGCTCAACATCAGGAGCATCTCACTCCACCTTTTCTGCTTTGCACAAGCAACATGGTGAGTTTCTCACTAAGTAGTGCAGATTGCCAATTAAGGGCAGTTATTCCTTGTTAAATACCTCATTGATAGTCCTATTCGCTGCATTAATATTCAGCTTTCTGAATTACCAAACTCACCACATAAGTTCAGAAATCTCATCTTGGGAGCCGGAACAGGTTCCTGGTGCATTCAGCTAACTGCTTGCTCCAAACAAAATTCACATTGTGTTCGATCAAACTGCAGCCCAAACACGATAAATAGGCACCAGCAACACACACCTCTTGTCCATGAATATTGACACCCAGCATGTGCAACCCTCATAATCATCATTAAACTTCTTTGATACACTGGCAAGATGCTCTGAAAAGACAGATTGAGTAGCAGGGCACACTGGCACATTCCCGCCAATCCTAATGCATCACACCCCTCTGTGTGTTGCACCTCCTTGCCATAGACATAGCTGAACAATTAATTGACAGATAGACTTTTGGACATAGTGACCACAAATGAATGTTGATGATGTGTGAGGGGGGTCAAAGTGTTATCATGGCCCAGTGCTATATTACATGCATTTTTCCTCTTGCTTCCAGATGATGCAGTCCAGATCTCTTAGTACAAATATCTATCCACGGAACTTTGACTGTGACCATGAAGTAATGTCAGATTCTGTCACTAAGCATTTTGAGCCAACACAGAGAGACTAACAACTAGGTGTAAAGTTGAAGCACTGAAATTTATATAAATGCACAAGTTCATTTTCAAGTCATTGTCACCTCGACCACCAAAGTACCTTCAGTGGGTCTTCTTCCTCCTCTCCACAACACTTCAGCCTAAGGTTCCACCCCTCCCCTGACCCACCCATTGCCTTGCCATTGCAGCTGTGGATCAATGCCTAGGGCAAGGGAGTGCAGGTCTTTATCTAGCAGACCTTATGTGTGCTGGATATGGCTCTGCACGGCAGTGCCCAACCTGTCTATGGAGGTGGTGAGACAATTCCATGCTTGCAGCAGCTGGGTCCCCAATGAGTAGCTGCAATCCTGCAGCCTCTGGGTTATGAGGACCACTGCCTCCCATTGCTCCTATCTCCTTGTACATGTGGATGAAGTCCCTGATTGCTGACACCACCGGGTCCTCTCCTGCCTGGGGCAGAGCAGCAGCCTGGTCTCTGAGAGTCCTGAGCGCCAATGGCCTGGGGTGTTTCTTCCCCAGCTAGTTGTTGAGAAATGGCAGTGATGTTTTCACCACTGTGTACTCCCAACTAGTTACAGTTCTCCCCGAAGTGTCAGTATCTGAGTTGATGCGGGTTGCAGGAGGCAGCATTGGTCTTGCTTCCTCTGGGGTCTCTGAAATCTCCTCCTGAGAGGGGCTGGTGGGGAGCCCACTTGAACTCTGTGATAGTGGGCATTCCACTCATACCTGCAACACACAAAAGAGAGAATGTGGTCATGGGTTATAAGTTGTGTACAATGAATGACACTGACAGCAGGGTTAATGACAGAGTTGCCCTGGAATTAAAAATAGTGCATACTTGGTGGGATATGGATGAATGAGAGGAGCGTGCAGCAAGTCAGCATCACTGCAAAGCAGACAGAAAAGCAGTGAAAGCAGAAAATAACCAGCAGCAGACAAACCTTCCACCTGGTTCTATCTGTCAAGCCAAAGTATGACACCACAGGAAAACAAGTAGGTGCTGGTGGGTATTTCTTCAGTCTCTCTTTTGATTGCCAAGCATTATTACAGTGGAAGAGTACTGTTAAGAAATTCAATTCTAAAATATTTAGCACCTAAATTAATTCATTAATAGAATACTGATGGCTGGGAAGGTGATGTGGTGTAACTGTAGTATGTTGGAGATGGTGGACACCAGCGCAATCCACAGTGACGTCTTCTGCAGCAAGTGCTGGCTGCATGAGGAACTTCAGCTATGAGCTGATGAGCTGGAATCCGAACTGTGGACACTGTGATATATCAATGAGACAGAGACGTACCTGGACACTGAGAGGAGACAGTCACATCCTTTAAATTAATTACATCAAATTTTATCCACGGTTAGGAACTGGAGGATGTGATTGCCAGCGAGGCAGGTAGTGAGATCCAGAATTTAGATTTGGAGGAGTCTCAGACAGTGTCCTTGTCCAATAGTCAGAAGTCACACGACACCAGGTTATAGTCCAACAGGTTTATTTGAAATCACAAGCTTTTGGAGCGCTGGTCTTTCATCACATTCCTTCACCAGATGAAGGAGCAGCACTCCGAAAGCTTTTGATTTCAAATAAACCTGTTGGACTATAACCTGGTGTTGTGTAACTTCTGACTTTGTCCACTGCAGTCCGACACTAGCACCTCCACATCATGGCTTGTCCAATAGATACAAGGTGCTCCCAGTATCGACAAGTGCACAAATTGGAGGGTGGGTGACAGAACTGACCAAAGCAGTCAGCTTGTCAGCATCCCTTGTCAGCTGTGGTTGCTTCATCCTTCCCTTAGTATGTTTCTTCTTCCTTGAGATGAATCTCTGCTGTGCTTCCTGAATTACCCCCACAAACTCCTGCCATTGCGGCTCCCCTTCCAATCAACGCTGTCCAGCTCCTCTCTTGTGTTTTTGCAGTTACCTTTACTCAATTGTAATACCATTAAATCTGATTCAGTCTCCCCTCTCTTTAACTGCAGGGTGAATTCTATCATATTATGGGGGTCACTGGTCCCTAGGGATTCCTTCACCTTCAGTTTCCTAATTAACTCTGCCTCATTTCACATCACTAAATCCAGAATTGCCTGTTCCCTAGTGGGCTCTACCACAAGCTGCTCCCAAAAACCATTTCATAAACGTTCCATGAATTCTTTTTCTTCTGATTCCAACCTGTACCAAAGTGCTGTGGTCAGTTTGCTCATCTTCCCTTCAGTCCCCACTCTCATCCATACAGGGAGCATGAATCTCAAACTTCTTTGACAAGATCAAGGGCTGAGTCTCGTTCAGCACTACCTCCTGGATCCGTCTATCTGCCTTGTTGGCAGTTACTCACTCCCATCCAAATCTGAGGTAGTTAATCTAAGGGGTGTGACTGCCTCCTGTAACACAACGTCCAGGTAACTCCCTCCTTCCCTCACGTATTGCTATGTTCAAAGCTCAGACTCCAGCTCATCTACTCTGAGCCAGAGTTCCCCAAGCAACCAACACGTGCTACAGATGTGGTCACTATGACCCACAATAGAGTCCACCAGCTTCCACATCATGTGGTCTTAACATGTTGCCTGGCCTGGCAGTTCTATTTAAACTATTTAGTTCTTAATTCAATTTTTAAAAAATTTGTACAGGTCTTTAAATATTTCTCCTGTTTACCTTTAATCTTAAAGTAACCTATAATAGATAGTCAAATTGGTAGCTATCACCAACCAATGAACTTATGGTTTACCTGTGATAGCACTCTTTTGGCCCCTAATCCTGATTAAAAAGATCAAATCTTGACAGTTTTTATCTCTATGTATGCAGTATTTGTAACATGATTGATGAGTTGATAGCGCAAGAATAAATGTATATTACTTGATAGCTATTATAGAGATGGAGTCACAGGGTGACCAGGACTGGGAACTCAATATTCTTGCATATTCAAATTTCCAGAAAAATGAGCAAAATGGAAAAGGAGATGGATAACATTGTTCATAAATGAAGGTATCAGTGCATTGGTGAGGAATTACATAGGTGCATTAGAGCATGATGTAGAATCAGTTTGGTTGGAAATAAGCAATAAGGGAAAAAAACGTCGTGTTTGGGAGCCATCTATAGATCACTGCATCTATAGTTTCACTGTAGGACAAAGTCTAAATTGGGAAATAACAGAAACTTTTTTGCAAATCATTATTTTTAACAATGCTGAAGTGTTTTGGAAGCTTTTATTTCCAATGGTTGTACAATAGTGTTTAGCTAAGAAAGGACAGCTTCCATTAGGCTAAAAACAAATTTAACATGCACTGGTTGAATTCCAATCTGAAAACCCAAACTAAATCAAAAATTCCTGAATATTTGATCTCCCATTTCCTTCTTATGTATTGTGATAATAAAACTTAAACATGCTGACATCAATGAAAATATTGTTTTCAGGAATATTAAACAGTTCATGTTAATTGCCATAATTTTCTTTGGAATGTTCAACCTAACATTTCCTGTAAAATTTAGTGGTAACATTTCTTTCCTTTTATAAATATCCTGTACTCACTTTTGTTTCACTGTACCAAATTTAATAACTGTATTGATGCTATTTTGATTTTAACCCTTAGCCCCTTGGATCTCTGAGTATCCTGTTGAAATCAATAGGGAACAGGCCATTGTAAGTTATAATTCATTGATAAGGTGATGAAATCACCCCGTAAGCTGATGTTTGAGCAATAAAAATTTGATTTTAAGTATTGCTGGACGTTGTGCCAAAGTGGAAAAAAAAATTTACACATGCCCAAAACATACATTCTGTGGCAGTAAACCAGACATTGAGAGCAGAATCTTACATTTTTTTGACAAAGAGTAAGTTTTGCATCAAGTTTTTTTTGGAGGGATTCTTGTCATAACTTACCAAATATGCCCTATTAGCCACTTACCCTACCTCTATGGCATCCATTGCATTTGAGTTTAGCCCCACCTTACCACTTGCCATTCCTGGAACACCTCACCACCCACTGAATATCCTCCAATAAACCGACACCCCCTGTTTCTGCACCAACTTAGAAAGGCTGCTCTGTACCCAGACAAGCACTGTCAGTTCGGAGCTACCCTACACGGGTCATGAAATTTGCCCCAGACACAGCAGACAGGAGAAAATTGGCACCCTACTTTGTGGGCAGGGACCCAGAAATCATAGTGGACAGGGTGGTGCATGTGTAGTACATGCTCTTCCCACAGGACCAGCAGTAGAGACCACAACAGCAAACCATGCCAGCCTGGCCTGAGGTTGCCACCCAAACAACCTCAATCATCTGGAGGAATGCTCAGCACTGTAGGAAGAAGGCCAATGATCTTCTCCACTCCACCGGGGTAAGTACCACCATCTTCTCTCTGATTCTTCACACACATTCTATCTCTGTTACTGCACCCGCCTTCCACCAAGGCTCATCCCTCACTTGCTCCGACCCACCCAACCCCAGAACCACTAACTTTGCACACCCTTCTGTACTTCATATTCAGGACATCTCCCAACCTGCACCAAATGTAACAACTGTGCTGAGCTGGGCAGAAAGTTTCAAGACGGATGGTGAACTGCCTGACATTTGGCTCCTCACCCCTTATGAAGAGAGAGGACACTGACTCTGACTGCCCCGGGTGGCTGACTGACCATCAGCCCATCAAGCCCCTGGGCTGGCATTGAAGGCTGGACTTAACTTGCCGTACCAAACCCCCCTGAGCATTGGTTATCTCCCTTGACTTGACTGAGGACTGCTGACAAACATGGTAAGTTTCCTGGTGTGGTGTCTGTGGTAAGCGGTAAGGCAGTACAATTTATTCAGTGAGCAATCAGATAGGCTAAGAGTAGTGTGACAGTAAACAAAAAGTCTGGAGATGCAGCCTGGTCCAGTCCATGAGCTGGCTGCATGCCCCTGAGTGCACAGTGTCCTTGCTGCAGGATTGTAATGACAGTTGTCAGTATAGCCTAAGGTACAACATTTAAGTACAAAAGCTTTCTGAAACTGGATTAGAGAGAGAGTCACATAGCATAGAAACAGGCCCTTCAGCCCACCATTTCTATGCTGACTAACAAACGCCAAACTATACTAATCCTATTTACCTGCACTTGTCCATAGCCTACTACGCCCTTGTGTTTTAAGTGCTCGTCCAGATGCTTCTGAAATGTTGCAAGAGTACTTGCCTCCACAAACCCAGCCTATCCAGTCTCTCCTCATAACAGAGACATTCTATCCCAGTCAACATCCTGGTGAATCTCCTCTGCACCCTCTCCAGTGCCATCAGATCCTTCTGATAGTGTGACTACTGGAACTACACACAGCATTCCAACTGTGGCTTAACCAATGCTCTGAGAAGTTGCAACAAGACTTCCTTGCTCCTGACTAATGAAGGCAAGCATCCTGTCTACCTTCTTCACCAATTTATCTACCTGTACTGATACCTTCAGGGATCTATGGACTTGCACGTTGATGTCCCTTTGTTCCTCAGCACTCCCTTAGAACCTACCATTTACTTTGTAAATCTTTCCCTTATTATTAGACCTCCCAAAATGCATCATCTCACACTTATCACACTAATCACAATTTACCAGCTGATCAATATCAGACTTCAGCCTGACACCATCCTCCTCACTATCAATACCAGCAATTTTCATGTCATCTACAAACTTACTAATTATACCTTCTACCATCACATTTAAGTCGGTAATGTACGAAACAAATAGCAAGGGTCCCAGTACAAATCTCCC